TTCCGGGGCGGCCAGCTCCTGTGTGTCGATTGGCTCATGACCGACGAACTCCATGTCATCATTCTCGAGGAAGTCCTTGAGCCGATAAAGAGCTTCAAGGTTCGGGACCCTAGCACAAGTACTTTTCTTGGTACTCTTTTTGACCCTGACTACAATCCTCTTCTTCTTGGCATCGGCGGAAGCGTCTGAGGAGTCAGCAGACCTTTTCTTTTTGTTTTCTCTTCCTTGGCAGTAGCTTTGGCAGTAGGCTGCAATGAAACGGAGGGTTTTTTGGACGAAGACAAGGCCATGGCCTCGGTAATTGCCCAAAGTTTGGTGGTCTTGGGAAAACCTGTGAAAGAAAAAGGCTTAGTCAAAATAATAAGATAAATGGGGAATTCAACTAGGAGAGAGGGAAACTCACCATGAGAACGAGCCTCCTATTAGCCTTTGGAAAGCTTGCGCCACTCGCGCTCGGAATATGTAAGTTGTTTGTCGATTCCCTCGATCCATTCCCTAAAATGGGGGACTGTATTGGAGACTCGGGCGACAGTTGCATTTCAGAAAAAACGAGTAATGAGAAAAAGGAGTAAATCCAAAGGAGTATTTTGACAATTTAAGAAGAGGTGGACTTATGTTTTGAGTTCCACTTCTCGGAGAATGGAAAGAACTCGGAGGGAATGAGATCTTCGGTCTTTATTCGAACAAACCTCCCATGCCAGCCTCGGTCCCTATCCTCGTCTATGCACAATAAGGGAGTCTTTTTTGCCCGTCGGGAAAGCTTGATTAACCCCCTCCCTCCCCCGAAAGATTCGGGGACTGTAGACATGGAGTAGATAGTCGATCGTGAACTGTGTCTCTTCCATGTTGTTGGCAAAGTGACAGATAAGGGTCACGATCCTCCAAAAAGAGGGGTGGATTTGCCCGAGGCAAATCTCGTACTCTTATAGAAATCGAGGACCGTTGTGTCCCTCAAACCGAGCATGAAGGGATACATAGAAACAGTTAAGTATCCTTCCACGTGCGTCGTGATGTCCTCGTCGGGACTCGAAACGGCCACATTTTTGCCTTCCCATTTTCAGTCCTCCCGGACCGCTTGGAGCGTTTCCTCAGTGATTGAGTAGACATACCTCCATGCCTTCTCACCTCGATCTCCTTGTCTGGAGGATTTTTTGACCTTAAAATCATTATCTATGGAGCAACCTCTGGGGGATAAATTCTATAAGAGGAGGTTCAGAGGATGCTACCGGAAGGGTTGCCTCGATGTCTGCGGCTAAGGTAGATTTTGAAGGAGCAGTGTTTTGAGGCACTGTTTGAGATTTTAGCCATCTTGATCTAGGAATATGAGGTTTGAAGGTTGATATGAAGATTTGAAGATCTAGTTTGAAGATTTGAAAGCAAAGTATGAAGGTTTAAAGACAAGAGATGAAGATATGGTGAACAATTTAAGAAGATTTGTAAGATTGATGAACAAATAGAAAATCTAAGGGTAACTCAAGAAGATTCGAAATCGGAAAGTAGAAAAGTGAAAAAAGGAAACCGGAGCTTTTATAGGAAAAAAATAATGAATGCGTGATGTTACGCATTCGCAACCTACCGAAGATGGTCAACTGGCGGCTGACACGTGTACGAAGTCAGAACAACACGAGTGATGGGATATTTCGGCGACTTTTCAACTTGCTTATGGCGTATGGAGGATGAAACCAGAGTCATGTAATCACTTCTCGTTATTCCTATAAATCTACTCTCTGAGAAGTGGGGGACTATCTGTGTACGGATAAAATTGGGGATAAAATTACCCCCATTTTCTGATGAGAAATAAGAAGACAACATGGTCTGACATAGGCTCAAGTAAAGCCGAGGGCTCCCCAGATCAGATCCCGAGGAGACGAATGACGCACCAAGATTCGGACATGGCCAAACATGAGAGAAATCAAGCTCGAGCAAAATAAAGTATCGAGGTTAAAGGAAAGATGGTTAGAGAGGACGAACGAGGGGCCGAATTATCCGCCATCGACCGGATATTATGGTACGAATCTCTCTCGATATCAACTGCGGATCATAATTTACTAAAAAGAATAATTTTTACCGTATTTAGATTTGTACTAGGATTAAAACTCCCCTACTCTATAACGGGGAAAACCTTTTCATTTTCAATCATTGTTGGCACGCATATCAAAGCAATAAAATTTCTTTTTGTCTTCTAGCTCTTGTTCAAAGTGTTCTTTGGCTACTCATTTCTTGAGTTGCAACCGAGCCCGTCTCGAGGGCTTGATCGGAACCAGTTTCAGAATTCAACTTAAAGCCAGGCTTAATTGTTCCATCACGTTTGGTTTGATCGTTTTGTTTCTCCTTAATTTTATTATTTGTTGTTCTTAAATCATTCGTGTTAAATTAAAACATACATCCTTTAAACCACGAACAAATTCAATTGTTACTCATTTTAAGAGTAAACACATTTACTTCTTTTTCTAAGCTATCGTTTATTTCAGCTGCAATAAAGTTTCAGATTCATGGACCAATTTTTTTATGAGCCTATTGGTTAATTCACCTCAAATTAATGTATGACCCGTATTTCCATGCTAATAATTTTATGGTAAACACTTCAAAATTCAGTGCTTATGCCAATCGAATGAATAGACATATTTTTTCTTACCACTAAAATATATTACTCCTATTAATTAGTACTCCCTTCGTTCACTTTTACTTGTTCACTATTTTAAAAATATATTTTTACTTTTACTTTTACTTTTAACATATCAAAAGAAGACAATTTTGTTTTTCCTGTTATACCCACATTATTAATTACTTTTCAAATTATTTTCTCAAATCCATTAATAATATGCATCAATTACTATGGGCATTATAGTAAATTAAGTACTTCATTTATTATTTTTTAAGGGGTATGCAAGTCCATAATATGCACTTATCTTAATTTAAGAGAAATTCATAAATCACTATTGCTTAGTGGTTATTAACTTCCTATAGCTACCATATACATAATTACTTCTTATAGCTATTATTCGGTTGTTACGGTAGTGTATTCGCTGTATTTGCATATTGTATTCATGAATACAGTAGCAAAAGTCGCCTAAAAAATAGAGGGTTACAGTTGTACACGACTGTATTCACATGTATTCGCGCCATGTATTCATGAATACAGAAATGGCAATCACCTTAAATTAAAATAGGTTTGCCCAGTTGTCTAACAACGAAAATAGGATCAATTAGCGTGATACACTCCTAATATAACTCAACAAAATCAATTCTTACACGCCTCATTATATTAGAAAGATTTTTCAGTTGTATATAATTGTTGTATTTAGTGTGTTTCAATATTTATTTATTTATTTATTGTTGCATTCATTAGATTCAATGTTTGCATTTACTATATTCACTATTATTCAATGTATTCAAATATTTGTATTAACAGTATTTTAGTTATTCCTAATACATGTTATTACTGTTGTATTCAGTATATTTTATTGGTTGTATTCACTGTATTTTTATTTGTATTCAGTGTATTTTACTGTATCTCATTGTATTTTAAAATTAAATGTATTCACTGTTTATATTCTGTTCTATTTCAATATTTGTATTCAGTGTATTTCAATGCTTATATCATGTATTCATGCATACTGTACGTATAAATACAGGTATATTCAGCTGTATTAAAAAAATGCAGACCTTCGAAATACATAACTACAGGCAAAAAATAGATATTTATATAAAAATACAATGTGTTTGCGTGAATTTGTACAGAATACAATGTATCGTATCACTATATGTGATGGAATTTTTTGGCCAAGCAAAATACTGTATACATTGTACTAAAACTAAAAATGGAGACAAACAAAAAACCCCACCCTCAAATCTTCACCGACATAGAAAATATTGCGGTATTCGTCGTTCATGTTACAGTACCCATGCTATACTCGGATTATTCCGGCATTATTTTTGCTCCCCGCGCAGTGGCCCTAGCCTCAGAGCGACGAGCCCCTCCTTGCACGGAGGAATCTGATTTTGAAGAAAAAGTTCGTCTTTCCTCTCTTTCTCCCAACATTGTTTTTGCTCCCCGCGCAGTGACCCTAGCCTTAGAGCGACGAGTCCCTCCTTGCTATCGAGGAATCTGAAGAAAATGTAGGATTCGGCCATATTATAAGGACGTATCTTGCTCGAAGAGAGAGAGATTGAAGAAAAAAATTGTTGAGAATAGAGAATCGTGCATTAACTAAAAGAAAGAAAGAACGATAAAATATAAAAAGTAACTATAGAAATAATATTTTAAAATAATTTTGATTAATAATAAATAGGTTGTATAGAACTATTTTATTCGCAACTACAACTAGGAGAAAAACCTAGAAGTAGAGACGCACGGCGGCGACGGTTACGGCAGTTAGCAATGGTATTGGCACGTGACTCATCGTTGGGTGGCGAAACGGTGTTACCTGAAGAGATAGTAACGGAGGTTCTGTTATGGCTGCCATTGAAGTCTCTGTACCGATACAAGCCTGTCTCAAAAACCTGAAGCTCAATCATCTCTGAACATGAATTCATGAAACTGCACAACGGCCGCAACGTTGGGATCGTCATCTCCAATTCTAGCTCCTTGTTCCTATCAAGGCTCAATCTTACTAATATCCCTCCTCATCCTCCTCCTTTTATCGAGCAGCAATTCGGTACTGCTGAAATTGGATTCACAGAAGTTATTAATGGCCTCTTTTGTTTCTATACTCCAACCGGTGATCTTACTCTCTGCAATTCCTACACTACTGAAACAATGGAACTCCCACTCCCCTCGTTTTTCCGCCCTAATAAATATGAAACTCAATTTCGTTTAGGATTCGATCCCTTTATTGGCTCCTACGATTGGCGGCCTCTTCGATAGTGATAATGTTAATCTCTTAGAGATTCTTACCCTAGGAGGAGTGGACACGATCAAAACCAAAACCAAAATTAAGACTATAAACAGAAAGTACAACTGGATAAAGCTGCTGCCTACTCATAATCTTGAAGTAAGTATGGATTTGTCGTGCACACCAAGTGTTTGGATAAATGACTCTTTGTATTGGTTAGTTGAATGCGACGACTCCAAACTGAAAATACTGGCGTTTAACCTTAGAAAGCATCATTTCTTTACTATCTCCCTACCTGCTGCTGCAAATCATCAAAATCTTGCAGTTGAAGATACCAGAATAGTGAAGTTAAGGGGAGGTTTGGCGGTGGGATGTCTGACCGCCGCCACCATAACTACACAAGAATTGAATCTCTGGGAATTGAAGGGATCGAATTGTTGGATCAATCATTCCATCATCTTACCTGAAGAACTTCAGGTTAGCTGTCATATAGAGCGCTGGTGCATTATTGGTAACCTTCCAACAGGTGAGATAATGTTGGCTAATCCTAATAATAATGATGATTCTAATTTCACCCCTATTTATTCTTATGATTTTTCCACTGGTAAGTTTCAGAGGTTTGTAGTTGGCAAGTTTCCTTGTACTATTACTGGTGAATCTTTTCAAATATCTTGTCTCGAATTAAATAACGGTGATCCACTTAAGGTTTTATTGCGCAAACCCCCAATTGCTGCTCTTCAATATATGGAGGAATATATGAGAGAGGAAACACTTGCAGATAAACTTAGAAGAATACTTATTGAGAAAAAGAAAAAAAAGAAAAGTTTCAAAAATACGAGCATGAAGACGCAAATGAGTTTATTTAGTAAGTATATAATACTATTTTGATATTTTCTGTTTATGTTTTATTGTCTAGTGAGTCGTATTTATTTTGCCATGAATTGAACTAAGGTATTTGTTTCAGAATGGTTCTTTTAAATGTTGCATTTAGTTTTTGACATCTCGTATATTTATATTTGTGCTCATGTCTTTGAAGCATTTGTGCTGGAATCAGAGTGTTTAGTGCACATTTATTTTTAAATTAACCAATGTAGATGATGACTTAAAATATATGTTGGTGGTTATAAAATTAAATAAAGTATGATGATTAGGACATCCACGAGCAAATTACATTTATATATTTATTCCCCGAAAGCCGTGTCGTTAACTCTTTTTTTTTTAATTGGTTATATTGTCTTTGTGGAAAAAGAATTTCACGAGCTTAAATAATAAGTTTTGTAATTTCAATTTTTCAAATCGTAGACTAGGCCAGCTATGGCCTATGAAGCCAAATCATAAACAAAAGAGCAGGAATAATAGTGATAGTTTAAATTATCGTCAGTGTATAATTTGGCTTTGGAGTTCATTTATAATCAGTGTAAAACGTATTTAAATTACAGCGTATCTTAACTGGTTATGTTAGGTTATTTACTATATTTTCTAGGTTAAAATTAAATTAGGTTTACTATGGGGAATTTCATGTTATATAGGCTTGACATGATGATGTAAAGAAATTATACACATAATGCACGGTACATAAAGATGTTATAACTTGAATAATATCATTATGTGAGATATTCACATCGTCTATATATATTGCAAATCTCCCATTGCGTCTGTCTGGAAGCGTTGTCAGTTCGTTAATTTCATGAGTTACTTTGTTATCAACCTGTGTGAGTATGAGCATATTAATTATCTATGCTAAAACCTCACAATTGGAAGTAAAAACACAGTTGTAGTAATTAATCTCTTTACATTAGTGTGCAATTCAACATTTTAATCAAGAACTACGAAAATGTTGTCTATGCAATCAGTAATACATGTTTCTGATCATTGTCTTGGTCCTCTTGGAATTTTAATTAGCCTTCAACTGTGTATGTCAAGTTTTCAAGTAACTACGCACAGCAGGCTTTCTTTGGAAATTTTTGATTTTACAAGTTCAATTCTGACAATATGTAATTCAAGAGGAAAAGCCGAAAAGGTTTTTGTTGATAAAATATTGAAGATATATAGACCTTTTTTTTGTAATAAATATTCAACATAGTTTGTGCATACCTTGACTATTCTACCGGGGAAAAATAATCCTTTCTTATTTTCTTTTCCAAGAAGGAAAGATAAAGAGGGTCTTATGGAGGGAGCGAGAGTGGAAAGGCTTGGGCAATATGACCCTAAAAAGAAGGGGAGATGTTGAAAGGTTCCATATTGTCGAGACAAAATGCGATGCTGATTATAGCATGTCACACTGTTTGAGCAATATGCACTATGTTCTGATTCATTGATAAGGAAGATAGTATTGCAGTGGTAGGTCTATGATGTGATACTAATGCATGTCAGGGGAGATACATGCTAACTATGGGTAGAAAGCAAGAACTGTTATGTAAAAACACTCGGGGAAGAGGTTCCATATTATCGACACAAAGGACAACGGTTATGTATGTGATGATTATAGTATGACGCATCAGCTGGTCATGGAGTATCGAAGAATATTGATCTATGCATTGTGTTCTGGTTCATTAATAAGGAAGATAACATTGCAGTGAGGGTCTACGGTGTGATACTAACGTATGTCTGGGGGAGAAACATGCATGGGTAGGAAGCAAGAACTATTATGTAAAGAAAAATTCGGGTCGGGGCGGGGTGTGTGTGGGTAGGTAGGGTGGGAGGGGGTTACAGATTATCTGATCACCCACGATTATTTAATATCAGATAACTCTGAACACCAAGGCTTATATAAATGGGAAGAGGTAGACCCTTCTTTTCAAAGTTATAGATTTTTCCTGTATATTTCTTGCACCATATATGAATCATCTTATATGCAGATTTCCTTGGTCAAATCTCTAGACAATCTGTTTGGATACAAAATTAAATTTTTCTTTCCAAGTTTTAACTAAGTCCAAAACCTTTCTCAACAACTGAAGTTCCAACCAATTTTTCGAAACAAGAATTTCTACACAAAAAACGAACCTCACCGCAACTCCCATCAGTTCTTATCCTCAATTCATCCACGTTATCAAATTCCCCTTTGCATTTGCCACGTTATAATCTTCATTTCTATCCATTGTTTAGATAATTTACATATAAATCCATTAGTATTTGTCCAAGAAATTTTAAGTGATCATGGAAACAAGAATGAAAAACATTAGAATTGTGATGTTGCCATGGCTAGCTCATGGTCATATCTGCCCATTTCTAGAGCTAGCAAAAGCACTTTCAATGAGAAATTTCATCACTTACCTCTTTACTACACCAGTAAATCTCACTTTTTTCAAACAAAGACTTTCTGTGAAAGAATCCATACGTATTAAGTTAATGGAAATCCAACTACCAAATTTACCTCAACTTCCTCCTCATTTTCACACAACCAATGGCCTTCCACCCCATCTCATGAACACTTTAAAAAAGGCATTTCTCATGTCCAAACCTGATTTTTTTACAATTCTTGATACTTTAAAACCAGATTTAATCATCTATGATTTTCTCCAGCCATGCATTCCAACAATGGCTGCTACATTGAATATCCCAGCTGTCCTATTTCTCACTCCTGGTGCTGCGTCAAATAGTTATCATTATCATGGTAGGAATAATAATCCAATTTCTGATTACCCTTTTCGCGAAATCTTTTTTCGTGATCATGAGCATAGGAAAAACAAGGAAATATTCGATTCGCTTGAGAATGATGGCATTGATGAGAAAAATGGTGTCACGAGATGTTTTGAAAGATCACATGACATCGTCTTGATCAAGACTTTTAAAGAGCTCGAAGGCAAATATATCGATTACCTCTCAGTTTTGTTCAAGAAAAAGTTTGTTCCAGTTGGCCCTCTCGTTCGAGAAATTGATCAAGAAGATGGTGAGCAACATTGTGAGATCATTGAATGGCTCAATGAGAAAGAAAAATGTTCGACGATTTTCGTTTCATTTGGGTCTGAATGTTTCTTGTCCAATGAGGAAATTGAAGAATTTGCACTAGGACTTGAGCTTAGCATGGTGAATTTCATATGGGTAGTTAGATTTCCAATGGGAGAAAAAAAGAATATTTTAGAGGTTTTACCAAAAGGGTATTTTGAGAGAGTAGAGAATAGAGGGATAGTAATTGAAGGATGGGCACCACAAGGAAGAATTTTGGAGCATTCGAGTATCGGAGGATTTGTGAGTCATTGTGGATGGAGTTCAGTAATGGAGTCGCTTAATTATGGTGTTCCAATTATAGCTATGCCCATGCAACATGATCAACCACTAAACGCAAGGTTAGTGGTAAATGAAGTAGGGGTAGGAATGGAAATTCATAGAGATGAGGAAGGAAATCTTGGCAAAGAAGAGGTGGCTAGGGTTGTAAGAGAAGTGGTGTTAGAGAAAAGTGGAGAGATATTGAGGGAAAAAGTAAATGAATTTAGTGAGATAATGAGAGAAAATGGAGAAAATGACATTGATGAGGTGGTGGAAGAGTTGCATAAGCTTTACAAGAAAACATTAAGGCATAATTATTACTTAGGAAAACTATTTTAGAAAGAAAAGAAAAAAGAGCCTTGATTACATTTTATCTTTTTCTGTTTTGTTTGTGTTAGTGCTTATGGTAATTGTTAACAACAAGAAAGAGTGGCGACAAACCTAAATAAAAAAGAAAACTCCGGTCATGTTGAAAGTAGTAATCAAACACAAATTAATTCCCTAATATTGACAAAGAGTTCAGGTTGATGTCTTCTTTTAGTTTGTTTGACAAATTCGTTGCCTTATACTTTGCTCAAAAGCTCCTCTATCTGGTTTTCTTTCTTTGTTCCTTTAACTTTAATTTGTTCAATGAATTTGTCCAAGGAAATCATTGGTTGGATTTGTCTTTGAAAAGCAGTAATAGAGGTCCGACGTAATGAAACATACTCCGAAAAAATTCTTGGGAGCGCTTCCCCTGAATGAGACCCTACGCGGCATGAATCCAGATATAATCGAATTCCAATGCGAGTATCAAATACTGGTTGGAAAACCCAACCAAAAAATAAAAAAAAAACATACTCCCTAAGTCTCATTTTATGCGATTATGTCTGATTGGGTTGTGACTGCGCATGAAGTTTAAGTCTTTAAGAAAGAAAGACTTTTAAATTTTATGGTTTAAAATAAAACATATATATTGGCATGATTATAAATCATTTCATTAAGATTTAGATAAGAAGTTTATAATTAAATTATTTTTAAATATAAAAATATGCACTTTTCGGCACAGATATAAATTAAGTTTTCAAGAGAGAGAGAGTTGTTCTTTTCGGCAAAGATTTAAATNGGGGGAGAGACGCATATTTGAGTGTCAAACTACAGAAAGAACGCATAAGGTTCACTATACCACTAGTATTATTTTGAATAAATAACTAAGTTTAAACTTTTACTATGGAAGACTTTAATTATTTATTTATTTAATTTGAATGTAGAAATTACAATCACAAAATAAATAAATGAATCAATATATGTAGTTAAATAAAAGTAATAATATTGGACATCTTAAATAATTACTTAATTTTTATAAGATGATCTAAACATTTCAAAATATATTAAGGAGCAACGGTACATGTGACCTAATTTGTACAGGTTACACATCCTCTTTACCTCAAAAGTATGAGAGCCATGAAAATGGGAGGTACGTAGAACTCAGCATCAGCTACTGAAACACTTGATAGCAAACAAGTGAAGCAAACAACATGAAACAATACGCCAAAAAAAGAAAAAGGGAAATTCTATCACCAGAACAACAATAAAACAGTAGACTTGCCACAAAATCTCTTATCCAGATGAACCATGTGTCTTCAGTCCATGCACAGACAAAAATGTGATTTTCAACATCCCTGGACTGTCATGGTATTCTCATTCACCATAAAGCAGCATCACTCAAGTCAAGAATAAATAACGAGTTTAAGTTCTATGCACTGGCAACGTAAATAATATGAGTATTTACATAATCAGGTCATTTATATGGTGGTAAATCTCTATGATAATGATTAATTGGTAACCAAGTAAAAAACATGGTAACCAACCTGCTATAACAGGATGAATTACAAGGGTACTCTTAAAATCTTTAAGTTGGTAGTGCGTATAAGTTAAATCCACAGATAATGTAACGGAAGAATCACATTAAGTCAAGCCAAAACCACTTCAAGAAAGTTCAAATGATGAACAGCATTTGGTCATTAACAAACTCCCATCATGATTGGAATAATCCCCGCTTTACACAGAGGCTAGCAATCACACAACTCTTACAACTGCTAAGTCACGAGTATTGCTAGTTTCATTTACGGGTATTAATTCTAACCACCTTCAGTTCACTTTTTGTTTAAAAGAACTTCACTTTTGTAAACTCTCTCTATACTAGCCAACGAAGAATAGATATCTATATCTTTCTGACCAATGTCTCTAAAATGAAATCACATACAATTTCTCAGTATTAAAGAGTTGATTGTCTAGTGGTAAATAAGCACAACTTCTATCAGATAGCTAGCAATACACAGACATGTTATAAGATCATGTACTATAGTTTTGACAGCTTAATAACTTCGCTATCTTTGGCAAAAACCATGATAAGATGTTGAAGCTAACTTGACAAAACAAATCATGATGCTGTACAACAGTAATATAACAAGCCATGAATTGTCTTATCTGAGGGATAGACGTTGCATGAGTCCTCTCTATGGCCAGGAGAGGCGCTGCAAATGCAAGCATCATCTTTGGACTTTAGGAGGCAAAGGATGCATGCATCCCAATGTCGCCCTGGAAAATGCACATGCTCCGTGAATAAGGATTTTGAGAAAATAAATCCATATGCTTCCAGATTGCGAGGAGACCAAAGAAATAAGTAAATAAAATCCATAAGTATGTTACAACAAAGTGCAATGGTTTCACCAATTTCAGTGCTCGGTTAGAAGCTTCAGAAGTAGGAAAAGATAATAGACTTATTTTATTTGCATCATAAAGATGATCCTCCATTTTATTGATAGGTACATGACATCCTAAAAATGAAATGTTTCCTTACACATGGATCTACTGTTGGTTTCTTTCAACTCAGAAAACAATTATTCAGGAAACACTGACTGCTTCATTCTTACATGTTTCTCCACCACCTTGAAGATAGCTTTTGGGTTGTAACATTTAGACTTTGACATTTCCATAGCAGGAATGTCATTGACTAGATCAGAAGTCAGGGAAAAGTGATTTTTTTTACAGTTCAATGATGATACTGGAAATAACCCGAAGTCCTACAGAAAAAATATTGGTTACAAAGTTCAAAGTATGAATTTAAGAACAATTAAGTAGATTTCTTTCCAAGAATATATGGCAAGATAACATAGTTACAAATGGCGCAACTGTCTACAATGGTGGAGGTTAACGACCAAGACAGAATTAACAAATGTGTCACCTATTTTCATGCCTTTACAATGCTACTCAAGTCAAAACATGGATGTGGTCCTACCATCAAAAAGAAAGCCAAAATGGAGAAATTAATTATCAACTGACATGAATACCAGTTCCAGCAGAAATTAAAGTCCTGAGCTCCGTCAAATGTTCGTCATTTGAGATATGGAGTGCGATGCGGAGATTTGTTAGTAATGCTTCTTGTTCCCAACTCAAGGGACCAGAAGCATACAATGCCTCCAAAGTGCAGCGATAAGCATGCAACTCCAGCTCATGAATACTTGCTGCAACATTATCCTCCGAAGAAAGACGGCAGCTTTCCTCCTCATGTGCTTCTGCTGAACCTTGAAAAGACTCTGCATCACTGCACAGAAGATTAGGTACTTGACAATGAATTTCGGCTGAAAAGCTAGAAATTTTATCAGGACTCTCATGATAAATACTACAACTACCAACTGAGCATGCATCACTATCAGAATCATTAGATTCTCCAATTCTGGCAGCGGAATAGCCATTGGCACCACTCTTTTTTGTAGGTTTCAATCCGTAATATTCATCAGACCAATTGTTAAATGAAGCACCCACACACTTCTCATCCATCATATTTCCTTTGCACTTGGCAATAACATGTGTCTTGCCTCCTAAGGAAGCCGGAACTATTCTTTGTCTCTTAAAACCTCTCTCAGCTGCCACTACCTCCTGAATGTTTCTAGATGATTCGTCTGACACCCTTTTCAGTGACATCAAAGAGCTAGAATGAGACTTCTGCCTTTTAATGTTTCCCTGAGCAGCTAAATCTCCGTCTCTAACATGACAACCATTCCTAGCACTTAAGACCAGGCTCAACTTTTTACAAGGTTTTTGAGCAGAAAGCTGGTCAGGTTTTGCACAGGTACCAGATCCCTGTAAGTGAAAACCAAGACAGGGTCAAGAAATGCATCAAAAAGAAGGGTTATCTTTCCACTAATACATTTACTAGACAATGATAAAACAACCAACAAAATAAGGGATAAAGCAATGATTAGAATGGTTAAAGAGAGGTTAGTCTAAAGGGGGAAAACTCTTAAACAGCAAAACTTAACAAATACCAACACCATCAAGAAACTCTATCTAATAAAACTCAACAGATAAGATAGTAAAAGTGGGATGCTTAATTTCTTCTGTCATTCGACATTACTGGCAAATAAGGTCAAAACTCAAAACCAAAAAGAAGGAGAAAAATAAGAGCACTAGGAGAAGGGTGAAAGGCAGAGTCAGAATGAAGACTTGCCTTTCCGATCAAGTGCCATTTTTCATCTTGCCAACATTGTCGCACTCTGGTGTTTGATCTGTGAACCTTAATCTCCTGAGGACACCCAGTTGGGTGTACCAAATAATAGCCTCTGTTCAAAACATTCACAATTCTGGCAGTTTTCCATGAACAGTTATCGAACACCTCGATTATTTGACCAGTTTCCCCATTCTGCACACCCTCTAGAGGAGGCGGACACGGTCTGATGTCCCTCCTTGCAACCCTCTCGACCGTCATTTCACTTTCCATACCACGATAACAATCATACCTAACAGAGTAAGTATGCCCATTACCAGAGAGGATCTCAGCGGGAGTCCAAGATACGGGCGAATTGTTCTTGTTCATCACCTCAACTTTACTTCCTTTTTTAAACCTCATGACCTATGATTTAGCCAACAATTAATAACCTGATTTTCACAAAGAAAAAGAAAAACATGAGAGTTATACATAGGAACCAAGCAAATGCTTGTCCAGGTAGAATTAATATGAGATCAAAACCACAAACAAGCAAAAATGGCATTTAAATCACAACATGATTAACTAAATGTAAAGTGATATATAAAGAGAGAAATATTAACAAAGTTTCTTCTTTTCCAATAAAATAAATTTACCCATAAAAAGAGTGTATTTTTCATCAATATGATTCTCAGATATATACAGGAAGCAAGAACAAAAACTCTAATCAAAGCTCAAAAAATTTAAAAAAAAAATATTCAAGGTAAACCACAAAATTTAAAAATAATAATTAGTACTATAAATTTCAAAATACTTGATGAAAACACATTGATCAAATTTAAAAAAAAAAAAATCAAGGAACAAACTAGAGTAGGCACTAATCAGAACATATGTATAAAACAGAACAAAAAATAGAGAATAAAAAATAATAATAAGAAAGCTTAAAACTTTATGAATGAATTGCAGGGAATGGTAAAAAAAACCAGAAAATTTTACCAAAAAATCGATAAATTAGGTTTGGGAAATTGAAAAAATAGACATGAAATTTAAGACCTTTTCTTGAAATTGAAGCAATGCTTCAGCTTATGAAGTTGTTGATCGCAAATAAAATTGATTTTCTCAAAGAAACTAAATGAATTTTCCCTTTGTCGGATTTGGGTAAATGGTATTTTTGTGTTCTAGGGTTTGGTTTTTGTTGGGGAAGAAAATTAAATAAGAAAAGAAAATAATTTTTGAGAAAAAGAAAAATAGAGAGAAGGGTATTATTGGAAGATAATGATGATTTATTCCAAAATTTGATCCACCAGAAAAAACTTAAAGGGCCCCATGAAACGATGCACGCTTTTCCTGTTTGTTTCAAGAATATTAATTTCTTTTTTATTTTTTTCGTTTGTGTTTACAACTAATTACATGTCCATTTGGTATTACATGGAAATATTCTCTGTAAAAAGTTAATTTACCTTAAAATTTAGTTCATTCGTTTTAATTTATATGACACACTTTCTCGTTGGAATATATCAAAATGTTGACTTTGTTTTGTATTTATCCTTCATTGCTTTTAGAATACATAGTGTCGTTGAAATTACTTAAACTAGAAAATAATAATGGGATAAAATTAGATATAAGTTTATATTATATTTGGTTGGTATTCCATTTTCATATAAGTAAATAAGTAATATAGGTATAAATTTACTTTTCAATTCTTGTATTATTTTTTAGCAGATTCAACATGGAATAACTTAGGCAGAAATAACTTCACAATGATAAAGCACCTAAAGATTGGGTAACTTTGGTTTTATCTTTTTATTTTTATTCAATTTTAAAACAAAGGTAAATTATTACCTTTTATATTATATATTAATACTTATTTCATTTTTAATATAATGAACCCATTTACCAGGAAAAGTATATGCACAAAATTATTCGGCGTATTAATTCCAACATTACATTCTCTGCATTATAATAACTTCAGAAGTTTGTCTCTAAATGAATGACTCCTAAATTCGTTAAACTATTCACTCAGAAATTGCTATATAAAATGAAAATAATAGTACTATTACTTTTGAAAGTGTTATGGAGTAATAAAGATTTATTAGTATAAGGGGTAAATAGGGAACTGTGGTGATATTTAGTGATAGTCATGAGTTGGAATTCAAGTTAATAAATGTCCATTAAAGATAATTTTAAAGTTTAAATTATTATTAGAGCGAGTCACGAGAAAATTTCTCGTGCAATATATGAAGATAAGTAATTTGTTAGACAAATAGGTAAAATAGTTTTAATGTAGCCTGCAAGTACCTTTGACGGTCTAAACAAAAAACATAAACAATAAAAAATAATGTATGCTTACAATGTCGTAACAGCTTGCATTATGAGTAGCAAAGACTTGTATAAGAAAGTAATTAGTGGTAAATTAGCATTCATCAATCATCAATATTTATCTGTTTAAGCAAAAGTAATTGGGGCATGATAATAGCGGAATTAAAGTGGGGTGAAAATCATTTACATCCCCCAAGTTTGCTTTAAAAATCATACCCAACCTCCAACTTTGAATAATTATCATTTTGCTTACCTATTTTACTCTCTACAAATTTTATCTCTTATTTTAATTCTTTAATATAATGAAATTTTCTTATTTTAATTTATGTTATTGACTAACATATAGACAAATTCAAAAAACTTTTTCGAAACCAAAAAAAGTGAAAAGTAATAGTCAAGCATATAAGTTAATGATGTTCAATAGTGAAATAAATGAGAAAAATAAGAAATTACAATAAATAATTTACTCGTATCAATAATTTTATTAATAACAATCAAAACTCATCTATTTACAAAATTGAGAATAAAAGAGAGTAAAAATTTCATAAATTATAAAATGCAAGTAATAAAAATATAATGTCGAAAAATAGAGGTAAATTTTATAATAAATTTGTAGAAACTATCTATTTACATTTTACACGAACTTTAATTATAATTTAGAAAAATCTAGTAATAACAGTCAGAACTCAAAAACTTATATACACATAGAAAATAATAAAAATAGTGGAACTTAAAATCACACGCACCGACATAAATTATATGCATTTTAATATATATATATTATGAAAATAGCAATATATTTTGTAATAAATTTATAATATGATTAATTATTTATAATGTTACTGAACTTACATTAAATATATAATAAAATATAATGTTTTTAACATAAGAATAAACATATATGGGAAGTCAAAAATGTCGAGGGTAATATAGATATTGCGTAGGATAAAAGGATGAAAATGACAATTGTTCAAAGTTGAAGGATGACTTTGATTTTTAGAGTAAATTTGGGGGATGTAAATGATTTTCACTCGACAAAATGTGGTGTTTTGTGCACACACCGCAGCTAANACAAACATATGATCTATTAAAATATTCTAATGGGAGAATTTTTTTAGTAACACATAATAGTTATTTTCTTAGTCGTCTAACAATAATTTTTCGTTAATTTACGCTTTCAAGATTAATACATGAGAGGATCCCAAATATTTCTACATTTTCTAAAGAAAATTCACTATAAAGTCTTAAAAATATAAATAAAATTTATATATTTATATGTCGGTTTGGTTCGGGTTTTTTTACTCAATACCAAACCAAGTCAAACCAAACCTAATCGGGTTTTTTAATCGATTTGGTTTGATTTTTCGGTTTGGTGCGATTTTCGGGTTCGGTTTGAACACCCCTACCGGATAACTTTGGCTACAAAAGTCGGACATAAACAGTTTCAGCGTAACTCTTTCTTGAAACCTCTCAAATCTTCCTCTAAAAACTCTACCAAAGTTCCAATTAATAAACTTATGAGTTGCAACTGAAGAAGGAATAAAGAAACAAATAATTAAACCCTATATTGGTATTTATTATTTCCATCTTACGTTTTTTCACTAGATTTTTAATTTACAGGATATTCTAAACGTATATTGTATCTCCAAACTAGTTGCTTTTATTATTTTAAAACTACCCTAGATTATATCAGTTTACTTACAGCACACAAAACAATTCAACTTGTTTTAATGATTATTATTGAGAAAATTTAAAAAAGAAAAAGAAAAGAATGAAAAAGAGAAAACAACAGAACCTTCCTAATTTTGTTTAATTATGTGAAAAGTCAAAATTGACAAAAGGTACGAGACAAACGGAGAATTATTATGCATATAAGACGCAAATATAAAGAAGGATTTGACATTTTCCACTGGAGCAGAATAAATTTCAAAGAGAATTAGTTCAAATTAAAACTTAAGAATATTATATTATTATTAAGATTATTGCAAATTGAACCAACCCATAAACTTAGTATTAGGACTTTTGAGGGTATTCTAACAGACAAATTTTGTGCTTTTGAACCTTGGAATAATATGAAAGTTCCATCTTAATCCATATAATTTCACTTGAAGCAAAGTAGCCATTAATTTCTTAAGAATGCTAATAGAAGCAAGAGGGATATAAAGATTTTTCTTGAAGTACTTTAATCATAAAATTAGAAACAAAATTAGGGACAAAGCGCTCCCTAATAGAAGTGATTCCATATTCAAGGCTTGAACTCGAGATATTTGGTTAACAATAAAGTAGTACTTAATTACTTATTACTCAACCACAACCTTTGCTAGTGACACTGCATTTAACTGTGACTATTTTATCACGGAACTATCTTAATTAATATTATATTATGTCTATAGGTTGAAGATTATTTTTTATACATATGTATTAAATTTTAAATACCTTTGAACTCTCTCAACGAAATTCCTCGCTGATTATATATAGACAGCAAAGCTCAAATGAGGCAGGAATTTTCTTGCTTATTATTACCAATTAATTAAATAAGTTTAGCTTCCACCTCGTCTATGCTTTTATTTATTTGTTTTGGGAATTGACATCAAGCTTAGAAATTTTCTGCAACTTTGAAAGATTATATTCATTAATTCATGGTTATTTGCCTCTATTATAAAGAAGCCAACAGTATTAAGTAGTGGTTACAGGGTTGATACTAGGATAGATACATACTTAGCTTTATCCAATATAGAAGCAATCTCAAATGGCAAAATCTTGCCGTACAATCTATTCTCTACTTTTTATTAACTTCATAATTTTTAATTAGTAAAACTTTCATGAAATGAATCTGTTTCAAACATATTTCTAGTTAGAATCTCATAGATAGTATTTAGAATATAACTTCTATGTATTGACGGTGTGAAAAAATATTTTGAGTTCACATTAACTGCATGTAATTATTTTTTCTATGATAAGCATTAAAAAGTAATTAAATTTAAATTTAAATATTTTTAAAAAGTAAAAACTAAAAAAATATTAACTATAATCCTCATTTTTCAACCTTAGATTGCTCATTTACCCTTTCATATCAACTATAATTTATATTTTTGACATGCATGTAGTATGATAAGATTAGTTTTTCTTTTGCTTAATTAACAACGAACTAGGAAAGTTTTAAGTGGCCAATAATAATTTTTTCCAAAAGAAAATATTACTTTAAGTGGCCAATAATCAGTTTGGTTACTTTAATATGTTATTAATTGTTAAATTGCTCTTCAGTATAGAAAAATGTCAAGTTTTAATACCCAAAGAAAATTGACAACACTAATAAATTTCATGAATTTTAAAAATTTATGGACTATAATGATGAAATCAACAAATAATGTTAAACCTAAATTGAAAAACCTTAACATATAAACTTATTGAAGTAATTTTCGAACTTAAAGAAAGTGAAAGAAAAGTACTAAAAAATTATTCATGTAACGTTAAAAAAAGAAGAGCTAGAGATATAGAGAATTTGTATTTCAATTACGAGATTCCTTGTTAAATATCAAGATTCTTGTACACTCTAAATAAATAGAAGTCGTTTATATGATTAAGAGATTATTTCACGAAAAAATATCTAGAGATTTGAAAAAATATTTTTTTTCTAAAAAAAATTGAAGGGTCGGCCCGCCCTAGCCCGCGGCCCTCTTAGGGCTGCGTTGGGCTGGCCATTTTAAGGCCCATATAGATGGAGGGTCGGCCCGCCCTAGCCCACCAAATTTAAAAGCCCACGAGGCTTGGGCTGGGTTGGGCTGGGCTAGCCCGTTTTGACAGCTCTAGCTGCATACATCCTACCCTCCTTATACCCCACTTGTGGAATTACACTGAGATGATGTTATTATTGTTGTTGTTGTTATTGTGTATTTTTACG